AAAGCGGAGGAAACTGATGACAACCCCCGTTACCCGGTGACATTATGTCAGCCTTGAAAGCTTTTCCGTGTATGAAAAGTGACGCACGAAAAAAAGCACCCCTCGAACCGCGCCACCCCATTGTTGCACTTCACACCCCGGCTGTGACGAGAACCAAGATTAAAAGAGACATTCACAGTTTGTCTGATTGATCGGGCGTCGTTATAAACGCCCCCCCTAAAAACCCATGATGCTGTGCTGCTTATTAAATGGATTAGTACCACTGTAGCTGTCTAGATACCAGACACACAATATTTGAGTCCACTAATCATAAATAGAAGGATGATAAATGAACAAAAAGATGAATTAATAATAATAAACTGACGCTAATTTTAAAGTCCAAAAACAGGCAAAATGAGCAAAAACAGAGTACATAACCCACCTGCAATAAAACTGTATGCATGCTAACAGGTTTGTCCAGTTTATTCTAAGTCAACACAATCAATGACAAACAGCTTTAAAGCGTTATTGATAATCAAGAATTCATTAAATACTTTCCGAGGTGGAGAAACTGTCGGGACAGATTGACACGATACTCAGACGCGTTTCTCCTGTCTCGGCTGTCCATGGGGCGGCGTGTGAGTGTGAAGCGGAGTGTCTTGCAGTGTGTTAAAGTGTGAACACGCCAGAGGGGGAATCTTAATGATACTTAGAAGGGAGTTGGCAGTTCTAACGAGACACGGAAGAAAACTGTGGCTGCCGTCGTTAGTTGTTATTGGACATTCGGGGACAACAATTGTGTCATCGGCCAAAGATTATCTTGAAAGGAAATAAGACAAATGTTTGCTAAATTTATTTTTCACCTGATTCTTGTCTCCCTTCGGTGCTCGGTCTGCGATTTCTCCCATTAGACTTGATTCCTCATCTAATGCTGGCCAATCACCAAGCAGGAGGACTTGTGTTTCTGGCAATGGAGGAAATGAACAAAGCCTTTCAGCCATGCTTCCAAATATTAAAGAAGAGAAAGATGAATGTTTAGGACATTTTATTGCTTTTTCTAATTGCGGGTTTCTACATGTTTTGTTTAACTTCAAGTGACACAAGAATGGATCAATTTTTTGCTACAGAAGAGGCACCATGCTTCAACTTGTCGGCCTCATGACCTCAGGAATCCACTATCATTAGTCCTCTGTCATCACAACAGTATGAAATTACTGAACAGTGATATCTTCGTCTTAATTACGAGTGACTTGAGTGAGTTTAATTTCACAGCAAATAGGAAAATATTCTCAACCAACTTAATTCAGTTCATTTACACAAGCGCCGTTTTACAAAAGTCATCTCGCCGCACTTTGCAAAACTTCAGGTCCAACTTGTGAGCAAAAATACGCGTTCACGTTCAATAAATGATATCAGCTCATGTGTTTGAGTTATTCAAGTCACCAAGTAGGACGTGTTCAATGAGACACAGACGGCTGTTTTCAAGCCTCTATTTCTGATTTTTTTCCCCGCTAACAGCTAACTAGAGTTTAATTTTAGCCTGTTACTCCAGACCAATAAAAAACATTTTATTAAGCAAAACTATTTTTAGCAGCTGATTTCCCTCAATTGGTTCTATTAATCTGACCAATAAGCCTGATCGGAACTTATTCGTTTAGTGAATTTTATTCGCTTTAGTTAATTAATGGTATAGATATTGCATAGGTATGTCCTACAAGTGTCATATAATGCAGTTAAAAGTACCTAGTAATGCCAATTAGTGATGTTTTCTACGGTGACACAACAGAATATCTTTTTAAAGCAAATTCAGCACCATTGCCAGGTTGTCAACACCTAGACTAATTAATCGCGCCGCGTCGGCCATGCTGGATCTTTTGGAGACTCGCACATTGGGGTCACAATATTTAACATTATGACCTCGAACAGACAGGAGGAAAACGACGGATAGGAAGCAAGTTTTACCATTAGAGCAACTATTCAGTGGATTCTAACACACTGAACTTCAGGTATTGCCTGCTTTTTCTTCTTTTTTTTTCTTTCAAATCTATATGTTACACTAACGCATAAGTTAATAAGAACTCATCAAAAACGCAACAAGACTCGCGAGGCACCGGGAGATGCAACTAATTACTAGCTGGCTTTCATAACGACGTCTATTTCTGTATTTTTATTTACAGAAAATTATGTTCACCTCCATTTCTACTATGCTTGTCATTTTGCTCTTCGGCTGTCTGGTGATCTGAGCCGTTACGACTCGCATTTCCTTTCAGTACGGTACACAAAAGTCCCTTAATCTGACCTTTTCAGGTTGCTTTGCTGAGTTGCAGGTGCTGATTCACTGACGCCATCATCTGATCGACAGTGATGCGCTTTGGGAACGCACTAATGTTGTGTTTTCTTCGTGTTTTTCCAGGACGTCTGCTGCATTCGGGGCTCGCAGACGGAATTCAACGTGAAGGAGAAACAGGAGCCTGCAAATGCCAGCGTTGGAAAGTTGCATTTTTAGCTTTGTTTTCCAGATGAGGGTGTCACTTCTGAGGTCACCTTTCCCTGGATGATGGTTCAACCCACCTCGTCTTGTTTCACAGACACACAGAGTGCTGGAAAATAAATAAATAAAGACATCAGTTTGAATAACTTGAGAGAAAATGAAAGTTTTCTTCTTTGTTTTTCAAATGTTGGTTTCCTTTAAGAATCAACATGAGGGCATATGAAAATTGAAATCTCTCCCAATGCGAAAAGCTGAATCAGTCTCCCAAAGCAACAGCGACTGCTGTCGGGGGTTTTTGTCAGACCTGGCAATGAGTTGTGATTTAGCCACAGTGGAGGCTCTTTGAGCACTAATGACTTGTTTACGATCATGACACAGCAGCTCCAACCGGTTTGAGCAGAGACTTTGATTAGTTCGCAACTAAATTTTCATTTTTATTCTGTATTTCTTTTAGCCCTGCAGTTTTGCTTCACATTCACTTACTGCTGCATCATCTCAGCTTTGTGTCACAAACCAATGACTGGACATTTCTCCTCAGGTCTCGTTGAGTCCTGCTGAAATACCTCCTCGCAATAAACGTCAGGACTCAAAACCACTGCCATCTTTGTTACAGGCCTTTTTTTAAAATGATCATTATTATTATTTCAATTTGTTTGTCTTCTGTTCTCAAGTTTTCATTAGGTCGGGTGTTTCGCTTCTTGATATTTTCGGGCAGATATCAACTTTGTGCTGTCAGGCAGGTTTTGTTTTGGTCACAACTTCTTAAAAATCATGTCCAGTCTCGGCGCAGACAGGGTTCTTTCCTCCTTGGTGACAGATATAATCAACACAAAACGTCTGTTTGTGTTTCCTTTGGTTAATTATGGCTGAAATGAAATGGTGTGAGCTGAAACATTTAAGTGAAGCAACAAAAAGAAAAGAGAGAGAGAGAGAAAAATCTGTAAGGGGGTACATGCTTTTTCCACACAATTGTATTTGTTCGCTACCATCTTAGCAATGACAACAGAAAAAAAATCATAAAAAAAAAAAAAATTATAAATAAAATATATATATATATATATATATATATATATATATATATATATATATATATATATATATATATATATATAAAATGTCAGTGGAATAAGAGCAAGTCTTCTGGAGAGACTGAGTGAACATTGAACGCATCGTCTATTTGAAAACCTCCATTTAAAAGAGCTGTGATACGTTTAGCAGCACTATGTGGTTAGAATTCAAAAAACCTCACACGACGCTCATCTGACTGAATAAATTGCAGCTGTAGGGTGAATCTTATTACCCCCATTGTACATTGAAAGCAGCTGCAGCTGTGCCACATGTTTAATTGACATTGGTTTAAAATGACAGGCTCCCAATCTGTCAGTTTCAACTATCACCTTAATGTATAGTTAATGTGGGACATAAATAGCGTCTTTTCACTTGACAAAAAATAAAAAATAAGAGTTTTGTGCTTTAGAACTGTCTCTGGCTTCTTATCTCATGTAGCTATGTGGATGATCTCTTTATTTGCAATATTTTAAAAAAACTAAACTGCAAAGTGATGAGGCCAAATGATCACTATCTACCTTTTCCTTTTTGGTTCATTTCAAATATTTCCTTTTGAAAAACTTTTATTTTACTGTCTTTTTTGTGGTTATTTTTTTTCTTGATTAGATAATTGTTTTTTTAAACATTTTTACAAAATTACAATGCTCATTTACTGTAATTTTGTAATTGGTGACTCTAAACTGCTCCATTCGTTTTTGCTCTCCTCGCCTTTCTTGTTGTTGTTTGAAGGATTGAGGAAAAGAAAACTTTTATAAGGCCCTGTAATGTTTAGACGCGTCTATGGATCGTTTATTCAACCACATTAAGGGAGAGTTTAGTGGAAGGAAAAAATCGAGACGCCTGTGCATTTGGGAAAGATCCACGTGGCTTAGACTGCGCTAGGTTTATGTTTTTTTGGTCTTTTGTCAAAATCTAATTTTGGGTGTTTATTAGCTGTGAGCCAAATGCATCCAAATGAACCAAAACACGATTTCAATATATCCATCTGAGTTTAATGCAATGAGTTTTTCTGTCTTTTCTTCTTTTTTTTTTTTGCTGAATTTTTATGCAATAAATTTACATTTCAATTCTACTCCAATTATTTGCCAACCTTTCATACGGGAGGGAGTAGTGGAGGATCAACAAAGATCGTGAATGCGTCGGGGCGAAGCGACGCTCTTCCCTCTGCTGAGTCACTGGACTCTGGTGTCAAAGCTCGTCCCTCCTCCTCCTGGAGGTTCGGTCACACGACAGCACCAGAGGGAGGCTTCGGTCGGCGGCGCTGCAGCTTTTACGCACCATCTCCCCCTGTCTGCGTCTGGCCGGGCTGTGCGCGCACAGCCTCCTGTCTCCGCTCCCTGCAGATGGATGCGCCAGCGGCAGCACACTTTCACTTAAACATCACACGAGGTTCCTTCCGTTCGAAATAGACGCCTGTATTTTATTTTATTTATTAATATTATATTTTTTTTTACCTTTCCAAATGGATATTTACGCCTCAGCGCTGTCGCCGGCGCTGGATATCGGCGCAGGATGCTACCTGCTGGTTTTAAGTAAGTAGAAAAATGAACTATATATATGGAAACATTGTCACACGAGGCTCAGGTGAGGAGTTCCGCTTTCTGCGTGTCTTGATTATAAATGGACTCAGTGCACCTGTTGAAGAAAAATTTATTTTTTAAAACTAGTTTCAGAAATAAAGGCAGAATGAAGCATAAAGCCAGTCAGAATGTCAAAATCCATAAATTGAGCTGCTGGATGAGGTTTGATTTCTGAAATGAGTTTTTTTTCTTCTTTCCCCTTGTGATATATTTTCTTTCTAAAATTTATTTTAAAAATTGGCTTTTTTTCCCCCAGCATCAACCCACACCAGACCTCCTTTTGCACTCAAAATTGCCTGAGTTCTCCATGACACAGGCTGAACACGACGTCGGAATAATATGTTGCGTATTATTGAAGTGATGCCTTCACAGTGTTGGTGCAAATCTATCAGCTGCTGATCCGTGATGAGAATCCCACAGACTGGATTCGGATCTCATTTCCTCAATCTGTTGATGTCCCACTTTGGTAAACTTGTGTCGATTTTCTCTTTCTAGCACCTGCTGTGCTCTTCTGCTGCTTTTCACGTCGCTTAAACACTCCTTGTCCCCAGTGGGGTCGGGAGGGGGTTCTGGTGCTGATCTCCAGCGAATGTTTGGGGCGAGTGGCGGGGGGTCACCCTGGACAGGTAGCCAGGGTGACAGACAGGAAGACAATCCATCCCATGCACACACACTCACACCGAGGGAGACCATTTTTTGAGTACCTGGAGAGAACCCACTCATGCAAACTCCATGCAGAAAGACCCCGGGCTGGGACTCGAACCCATTTCTTTCTGCAAGGCAACAGTGCTACCAACTGCGCCACTGTGCAGCCCTCACTTTAATCCACTTTTTTTTCCTTTTTTTACACCCTTCTGATGTTCAATTTCAACTTCAAGTTGTCATCATATGTAGATACCTACATACATTAAATTGCTGCCATGTGATTGGCTGCTTTACTATTTAAGCATTTAAAAGGCATAGCTAATAAATAGAGAAGCTATATATATATGTACATATATATTAAATGGATTTCGGAGCACTGCTTGCCCTTTTTCACGGCGTCTTAGACAAGAAATGAGGGATGGCTGTGCCGCAAAGCTCTTCAGGAGCTTGGGACTCAAACCCTGGATGACTGCCATATCAAATACTATAAATCAAAGTTTAGCTGAAACATAAAAGGCAATTATAGCTAAACTATTTGGCAGAAATGGAGGTGATATTTGGTGGAGATGTGAACTGTTGTCCCAGGTCTTTTCACTGCAGGTTGAGCCTCAACGTGTTTCTTTGCTACTACTTGAGGTAGTTAGGGTTTGTAAAAAAAACAACAGATGTTTACACTTGTTTAATGCTGAGGGTTTTGCCGGGAGTATGGGATATTCTGCCCACTGGTGTTTTAAGGAATCTTGAGAAGGATCCAGAGAGACTTCTTGGCATGAAGTCAGGTTCGTTTCCGCAACAAGGCCTGGGATTTGAAGCTGATCTTGTGACGTGGGAGGATTCCAAGAGGCGAATGTTTAGGTGTGCAAACATTTGGGTTGCGTCTCACTTCCACGCAGACCGGTGCTGCTCTGTTTATTGTCCTCAGACTGAATCCAAATGTAACTTCATTTTAACTCCAGCCACTTCAAGCTTTATTAATGAGGCTTATAAAAAACGTGCATTTTAATACATTGCCATGCAACAAGCTTTAAAAAGAAACGATTCAGTAAAAAGTGTAACAACAAACCAACCGCTTCAGCTCAACCGAGTTTAAAAATCAAGGAAAATAAATATCGTATCCCAATGACTTTTATTCTGCAGTTTACTAGAAAAAGTAAAAAAAGAGGAAGAAGTGCATTGACAGCACAACTTCCTACATCCAGGCTTGGAAGTAAATCCATGAAATCTTCATTGATGATCGCTGGCCCTGTGTACGCAGGGCACCTGCTCAAGCCAAAGCGCCACCAGAAATAGCACGTCTTTAAAATTTAAGATTTATTCATCTCTGAGGCGGCTTCAGATCTGATGCGCCATGGCAGGCTGCGCCAAAACCCGGCGGCCACCTCGCTCCCCTGCGGTCTGCAGCCTGATTCTCACGGACCTGAATGTCCTGCAGAGCTTTTAAAAATACAACAGTTTAGCTAAAACACTCAAGTGCCGGTCCATTAGCGGCTCTAAGTAATTTTGCTTCTGGATACGGAACGCCAAACACAAATAATGCTTTGAAATGAGGTGTAGCAATAAAGTCAGACTGAACTAAAGTTCTGGCTCAGCCTCTGGTGTTGGCAATGCAGAAAGACAGCAGAGTCTGGATGCAAGTAGCTCTCTATCTCTACACCAGGATGCAGGTCACGGAGTGTCTCTGCGACCTTTAATGGCCCGGGTTTTTTCTATTTTTGAGCTTTGTAAGGTTTCGAAATAAGCAAGGGCAGCGAGGGAGAAAATGTCGTGCATTATGTTGATCATAAAAAAATGGTGAGAGGGAGAATGTTTCCGCTTGCTTTTTTTTTTTAAATTGTGAAATGAACAAAATATTGTGTGAAGCTCATGGAAAGAGACCAAAGACAAGTTTAAGTACATGCGTATTACAGTCGTTGCAACCCTGACTGACCTAAAACAATAGCTGAACAAATACGTGCTTAAAATAAGTCGTCCAAAAAGCATCGAAAGTCATTAGATGCTTTTTGGTGTTGCTTCTGTTTCACTCCAGACGTTGATAAGAGAGGTCAATGCTAAAAACCTGCGTCGTTTTGTTGTCCTAAGCAGTCAAGCTGAGGTTGTTTGTCCCTGTCGATTCCCTCTTTGTTCTCGCTCAGTGAGTTTTTTTTAGAGCTACATTGGCTTAGTGATGCTTCCTTGAAAGCAATCGCCAGTGAGCTGGAAGTTGATCAGGCCACTGAGCTCTGTGTGATTCATGGTCCCAAGGTGGCTCTTTGGTGAGGTTTGGGGCGAAAGATTGATTCCAGGCTGTGGTGGAAAGTGTCAAAGCTTAATGTCGCAGTTTTAAGGGGCAAGACGGGGACATTTATTTGCTCTTTATATCCCAGATAAGTCAAAATCTTTCATGTCCTTGGAACTTTTCCACATTATGTTACTTTGCTACTGAGTTCATTTATCGGTGACAGAAGACTGGAGATGACGGTGGGCTTCCAGATGTCCGACTGCCCGTGTCGAGGATGATACGCAGTTTCAGTTCATACACCATTAAGGCTGAAGCCCAGGAAAATCAGCGACTATTAACTGCGAAAGATCTCAAAAGACACGATTACCTTTGCAATGCATTGTCAAGAGAGATTCTTCGTCTCTTGGGTGACAAGCTAACCTCTGCTCCGATTTACAAGCCTCCGCTCTTGTCCGACATAGATCAGCTCAGCCACCTTAAAATGACTTTAGACATCAAAACGGTTGTTGAGGACACAGGTTTAAATTGTACGAGAAATCTGGGATATCCAGAAAACACATGCGCACACACATGCGGGCATAAGGAGAACGTGCAAAATCCACACAGAACGGCCTGAAAAGCCAGATCCACGTGGCCTTATCAGATTTGCAGAACCGATCCAAAAGGATCAGACACTTAATCTGTCTAAAGTCCAGAGGATATGCAGCCAAGCTGTCTAACTTCCAGGACTCTCCCTCATGCGGTGAAGACGTAAACGCCAGTGAAAGTGTAGGACCCAAAAGGAAAACAATCCTGTTAAGTTATCGCTATTTCCTCTTGTATTTTGCCAATTGAAACTGCAGGTCAAAAAGAACAAACGTGATTTGGTGATTGTTATTTTCCGCTGTTGGACGTTTTCCAAGATCCAGATTTTCACGGCTGAGGAATGTTGAGGCAAATCGTGTCGGAATTCCATAATTCTAATTGTGCTGAAAAAAAAAAATAAAGCAGATTAGCGATTTGCAGTCATTTTCATTTAGATTTGGAAATCTGTTAAAGTTCTGTGAAACTCAGCACTATTAAATCACATGTTTGTTTTTTTTAACCATGAAATACTCATAGCTAAAGGATTGTTGTTTAAGGAACAGCCGTTGTCTAATCCTCTGTAAAATTACCCCAACATTCACTTTCTTTGGGTTGTTTCTGGTGATTATGTCACTGTGTTTTAATCTTCTGTGAATTTTGCCAGGTGAAAACTTTCTGCTTCACAGGAAGGACGTGCGTTTAGCACTTCCCACCTCCTGTTTGCTTTACACTTTCCCTCACCTCTCGGGGCATTACACGCTTGGCCGATTTCTCTGAAAACAGACTTGGTATTTTGTTTAAGCCGTGTCAGACTGCAGCTCGGTCACCGTTCAGCCTGTTGTTGGACCTGGTGTCTCGTAAGCAAACGAAACCGAATCGATGATCAGCTCCCGTTTGAGCGTACTGCTCAGTGATCAGCAAGCGACGCGTCCTGGTTAGAGATGCGTAGGGGAATTGTTTGCCTGCGTGAATTTTAAGCCTGATCGGCCATCAGGCCGTTTCAGGCGGAGGTTTGCATGGCGGCAAATCTGTTTGTAGTGGATTCAGTCGCCTGAACTAAACGGCGGGAAGACGTTTGGATCGAGGCTTTCAACGGTTTATCGGAAATGTTCAGCGTCATCGATCCTTCGCCCGGAAAGATGTGTGCTTTTTGAACATTCCCTAAAAGAAATTTCAACTTGCATCAAAAGAGTCCAAACCATTGAAGTGGGACTCCTACAAGACACCATGCAAAGACACAAACTCTCACCATTTTTTTTCTAGTAAAAAATATCTTTATGCTCTTGAAATGAGATAGATTTAGCTTACACATAAGTTTCCAGTCAAAAAAAATGTCTTTCTCCCAGTGAAACCTTTAGTTTTTATGAATATTGAGAAATTATTGACCTAAAACAGCTTCTTTTTCTCGATTAAAAGTTGCTTTAAGTTCATTTTGTCTTTTCTGTGTACTAAGACACTAGAAATGAGACCAAAAACACTTGGTGAGAGTTTGTGTTTTTGCAGAGTAGCAGGTTTTATTGCACTGAAAAAGTACAAATGCGACAGGAGTACTCTTTGTTGGATTGGAGAATCTGAGCAGTGAAAGTCCCTGTGATCCAGCTACAAGCCACCCATGCTTTCCCCAAACATCTGCCCACTGACTGGTCGGTTCCCTGTTCAGTACAGAAAGAATCTCATTGTGTTGTGGCTTAGTTCAGCCGTTCCTACACCTTTCTGACTTGTATCAATATCCATTTCCGAAACGTTATCCTACGAATAGCTTTGATCGGACAATGATCAGACGCCTGTCTCTGTCTCCCCTTTGTCTCAGCCGTGCTCTCCACCGTGGGAAACCTGCTTGTCCTCGTCATGGCGTTCAGAAGGTCGTCCCGCATGAAGCCGCCGGAGCTGCTCAGCGTCAACTTGGCGGTGACGGATCTCGGCGCGGCCGTCACCATGTATCCCCTGGCCGTGGCCTCGGCCTGGAGCCACCACTGGCTCGGCGGAGACGTTTCCTGCATCTACTACGGTCTGGCGGGCTTCTTCTTCGGCATTGCCAGCATCATGAACCTCACCATCTTGGCCGTAGTGCGCTTCATTGTGTCCCTCAATCTGCACTCTCCCAGTAAGTCGTTTAAACAAACAAACAAACAAACAAAAAAACAGGTACCGGTGAATTGAAACTCATTGTCTTAAATTAAGTTCTTTTGCAGTTTGCAACATCAAACATTTGTTTTCACAATCTCTGCAGCCCAGATGATTTAAATCTCTTGTCAAATGGGGAAAAAAAACAAATGATTTCCACCATGCTGGTTCTGCTGCTTCCATACGATTTAAAAGGGTTTGGATCGGCAAACCAAATGCGCTTGATTAGCTGATAATCAATAAGACCATCTGGGTAGATGCAGGGGGTCTGGGAGGTTATTTCTCTAGTGGTTAAAACAATGTCAAGGCTGACAAATTGCATCAATGAGGTCTGGATGGTCATTTCCAAACAATAGTCAGTCTATCAATTTATAGCAAGAAAGACATTTAAGTCCATTTCCAATCTTCCCAGGAGTCAATGGTCCAGAGGATTCATCCCAAGGTCAGTCTGTGCAATACTTCAATTTAATAAAAAAAACAAAGAGCTTCATCTTTAGCTCTTTAGTCAGGAAGGTCAACGATATAAGTACAAAGAAACCCATGACCTTCTATCCACTGTGGTCGTCCAGAGGCATAAAAAGGCCGAATGCAAACATGGAACCTGTTTAATGTCGCAGTTCATTATAGAACAATAAGAATAATAATAAAACCTAGCTGAGCTTCAGCTCTGCTAGATGCAAGGTGCAGGAGGAAGGCGAAGCGCACCGAGCAAAGCCTGCCTCACCCTGTAAGCCAAGGGTTGCAAAAGAGAAATGAAAAAAAGTCTGGAGAAAAGCTGTATTGGCCGTACACGAATAAAACAGACGTAATCAGTTCTTTTAGCAACAACAATGAGAGTGTCGGCGGTTGACCTTGGAGGAGGATTCATCAGACACTGGAGGGATGGATGGAGAAGCGACATGGAGGAAATCAAATTGCCTCTGATGCGCAAGAAACAAATGTGAAGCAGCCTGTTAGGAAAAAAAGACACATCAAAAGAAATGTTTTTCTCTCCACTAAAAGAAAAAAAGAAGGAAAAAAAAAGGCAATTTGGAGAAACAAATGTTTCAGATCAATTCTGAATCCCGCTCGGCGCGGTAACCATGGTTATCGCATACGTTTCCCAATAAGACCAATAAGTCTGTCAGCTGAAAACGACCCGTTTGCGACAAGTCGTGCTTTCTACGAATGAAATCAGTTTGTTTCACGCAAGTCAATAAATAAGGGAAAACTGCGTGAATGCCTTTATGATTCACACCGAGCCCTCAGTCAGTGATTTCACGGGTTGCAAAGAAGGTTGCATTTCCTTTACTTTGCAAACGTTTCTCTCCAAACGTTTCTCTCCAAGTTGTACAGTGAAGGTGAAAGCCTGCGACTGACTGTTGTACAAATTGATGAAAAATACTCAGCATTTCTCTCTCTCTCTCTGCAGAGGAGATCATCAGCTGGAAGAAGGTGAAGATGCTGTGCATGTGGACCTGGCTGTACGCTCTGGTCTGGGCTCTGTTCCCCATCCTGGGCTGGGGCCGGTACGGGCCGGAGCCCTTCGGCCTGTCCTGTTCGCTCGCCTGGGGGCAAATGAAACACGAGGGCTTCTCTTTCGTCGTCTCCCTGTTCTCCGTGAACCTGCTCGCGCCGAGCGTCATCATCGCCTTCTGCTACTTTGGCATCGCCATAAGGCTCTACGTCACCTACAAGAAGTCGGCGAGCAGCAGCCGCGTCCCAAACATCGTCAAACTCCACCGGAGGCTTCTGACAGTGAGTCGCTCCGCGCCGCCGCAGCCGTGACCGATTCGGCGTCTTTGTCAGACGCAGAGTCCACGTGCGCTTTGAAATCATTTGTGTTGCTTTAACTCAAGTTAAAGCAACACAAATGAATTTCTGAAAGCTGCTGCGTGCGTATCATCTCGTCTCCCTCTCTCCGATCTGCCAACAAAAAAATCCAGTTCAACCAAATGCAGCTCAATGTCAAAGTAAATACGATTTCCTCGGACGTTTTGCTGGAGGACATTAGGAAACAAACGGCACCATAAATTCAAGATGAATAAAACAAAGGTGTGTTTTCTACCTGCAGAGGAAGAACCTTGCTCTGCTCGACGAGGATAGAAATGTTTAAACACTGTCGAAGTGAACAGTTCACACACCTTTTATTTGAATACATATATATTTAAACAGCTAAAAAAAAATTCAATGAATTACTAAGATGGTATTGCTCCCCTGATTAGTTCTCCCTATTTAAAAAAAGAAACACAAAACAGAAATGGATTTTGTAAAACGCATGAAATTACTGACGCAGCACGTAACGTTTTTTTTCCGATAATTAGATTTTTAGATGGTGAGTGATTGAGGGTTGAGAAGCTCAGCTTGCTAGCAATTTTCATTTGCCAGCTTGAGTAAAGCTGGCTCCAAACCAAAGTTTCTGCTCCAACATAGAAGAACGAATGCGAGAAGCCTCGAGTTAATCTACAAATTCAAGAAATGTCGTCCTGCAAACCTCTTGTTTACCAACAAACCAGCGTGACAGTGGGTTAAATCTGTGTCTAGCAAATTCTGATGGATTTTTTTTTGACAGGATTTGTTACCAAAAGTAGCCAATTCTAGAATTTACCAATATGAATTGCTTGTTATTTACCGTCCAGAAATTCATTTTTAGTGTGCACAGTTTCACAGTTAAACACAATGCACACATTGAACAAGCTGGGAGTTTTGCTGGTGAGAATCGCATCGACCAAAAGCAACATCTGAAAAGTGTGAGTTCGGCTAAAATGACACTAAAAAAATTAATAGTTTTTTTCTCAAGTCCAAAAGACAAAGAAAGCATTAACCTCTATAAAGTATTCACATTAGATTCTCAGATGCTGCGGTGGGATTTCTTTTTTACCGTCTCCGACGTTCTGTTGCAGATTGCCGTTTTGATCAGCGTGGGCTTCGTGGCCTGCTGGACGCCCTACGGCTTGGTGAGCCTGTGGTCCGTTTTGAATGACAGCAGCAAAATCCCGCCCGAGGTCAGCCTGCTGCCCTGCATGTTTGCAAAGAGCTCCACCGTCTACAACCCCATGATCTACTACTTCTTCAGCCAGAGCTTCAAAAAGGAGGTGAAGCAGCTGTCGTGGCTGTGCCTGGGCTCCCACGCCTGCCAGGTGTCCAGCAACGTCAGCGAAAACAACATTTACATGGTCAGCCTCAACCTCAAGTCCAAGGAAGTGGCGCGGGAAACCTTGCAAGAGGAGGTCACCGAGTCGAGACAGTGACTTCGGCGTGAGGGAATCTGAGATGAGTTGTCAGAGGCCTCTTGATTCTGGAACGGAAAGGTGTCCTCTGTGTTATGACTGGGTGACCGGGTCCTTAGACAGACAGGCATGATGGGTAAAAGGGACTGGGTTCAAAACTGTGAATGTTCCAAGAACTACAAATATATAAAAGAAAAAAAAAAGTGCCCAATTTAGTCATGGAGATGACATATCTGACATCTGAGTAAACCGCGCTTACACAAGAAATGATCGCAATCGGCGGGTTTGAGACGTTGCGGCACGTTTAAGGTCACAGGGAGAAGATGCCGCGTAGCGAAAGTTCAAAGCCAAATGCCGAATGGGAAACTTACAAGAACTGCCGGAAATGTTTACTTTATGGACTTTGCTTTTTTTATGTTGTGGGGGAGTTGTGCTTCTGTGTGCATTGTGTGTTTCAACAATATGTTGGTAGTGATGTCCCTGAAGGCCACACGGAGTTGAAAGCTCTCACAGAAACATTCATGCAAGAACGCAAGATTGTAAAGAAGCTGCTGTCATTCTGTCTGAGCCTTGCGTTACGATGTGTAAACGTGCAACACCTTTCACAACCTGAGCGGTGTGTAACTTTATAGGCGTCGTCTAAAACAGCTTTGTGTTGTAAAAATGAAACTCTGCTCTTAAAAACGACCTTTTTGGAGAGGTGTGTGACTGTTGGAGTCACTTCTGGAAAGAACAATTCAAGGACATGCAGGACGCAGTGGTTCTGCTTTTGTATCGGTTTGACAAATGGTCAAAAAAGTGAAATAGTCAGCACTCTTGGGTGACACTTAGCGTTCTGTTGCGGAAGCGAGGCTCGCTGTTTACGCAGTCGTTGGAAAAACTCCAAAGATGCGTCATGACACGTCTTTAAAAAATTTTCTTTGCAATTTCCTAGCTGCACCGATTGTGGCGTAGAGGCAAAAATGCATGTGAATAACAGAAAGTAATTGGTTAAAAAGCCGTGGGTGACACGAAGGTGGATGCATTTGATTTGTCACTTTGCTTTTGTTGTCCGGAGCAAATGTAGTGTAACCGAATGCATCAGAATGAATCAAATAATGAATCATTCGTTGAATCAAAGCATGGTTTTAATGTTAAGACGATTAAAACCATGCATAATTTACAAACTTTAAGAGCATGCTTGCACCGTCTTACTGCTAATTAGAATAACAGAAACATTTTCTGCGCTATTAACTGCCCATAAACTGAATAAGAATGCTTAGGTAAATAAAAGCAAAATGGCTGATTTACAAGGAGGTTGCTAGTCCCATCCTGACCACTAGATGGCAATAACAGCAACACACAGCACCTTTAAACGGATTTGTGTTTTTCTCTCCTGCTGAATATAGATTTCACCTCCATCATCGTAATTTTCATCAGTTTGATCCATTTTTTTGTACTTTGGAGAACCAAATCAATATTGCAAAGTATTCGCTTAGTAAAATCTCTCCAAACCTTGTAGAAGAATTTGTTTGCAGCATTCTGACCTGAACAGCCCAGACTTTTTGTTTTGTTTTCCATTTTAATCAGTCTCTGTATTGATCCAAAAAGTGTTTATGGTGCAATCAGGTGGAACCACATTATTACACTGAAACCAGAAAAGCACATTAGTGAGGTTAACATGTTTTGCAGGAGCTATTGACAAAGTGTGTCTGTTTTGAGTCTCTATTCTTCATATTTGCCCTTCTGTATGATTACCTGCATTTGGCCTTCACTGTTATGCACCATTATTGTTATGACAATGTGCCTTTCAAAGCTATTCATTCTCCTGGTTCGCTTTCACATTTTTTCACAGTACAACAACAACTCTGTACTTTTATGTAACACAAAGTTCTGCATATCAGCTAAGTGGAAGAACCCCCACCCCCAAAATTATAGCTGTTTAGCTCCTTAAATTAAAAAGTAATCTGGTGACATTCATTAAATCTGAAAATATCCCCCTCTCTTTTTGCATGTAGTTGCTCAAACTCAGTTTCAGGCTCATCTATGAGCAACTATTTGCAAGCCTTACCACATTCTCAATTAAAATTCTGGTCTGGGCTTTGACTGGGACATTCTAACACATGAACAGACTTTGTTCTTGACCGTTTCATTGTGGCTGCGGCCGTCGGGTCAGAGTGGTGTGAACGCACTACTTTGTTTTGGCCTATGACACGAAGACCTAACAAGGTCGACCGAAGGTTGTTTTTTGGTGTGTGGATACTTTTGGAGGCCACAAGATATTCACCAATGAAAATAAGAAAACATTCAAATTTGAGAACCGCTTTTGCTTCATGTCAGAAAAATATGCAGCGAACCAACACTATTTTCACACGGCTGTTTTGACCACCTGTGCTGAGAATTTCCCTGCATTGCAGGTGAAATTTAAACCTTCTGTGGGTTCCTGTCATGTAAAAAGACCAGGTTGGGTTCAAGACAATCAATGAGCAAGAAAGATGAGAAAAGTTACTCAGAATTCGAGGCCGGAGGAGTTGAAAGCTCTCACAGAAATATGAGAAAATGTGTGAAAACGTATCCCGTCAGCCGACTGTACTTTAGAGCGGTGAAGGAGGCTGAGAAGCTGCCGTCTGCATAAAATATGCAAGCTGCTTCAAAGAAGTGGCAGGTAAGGAGAAGAACAACCACATGCCATTTCTCACATTCTCAGCCGAGTGAGGGAACGCAGCGCTTAAAAAGCCTCCAGTCTCACTCAACATACTGCACTGTGAAAACAAATCTAGAATCCGGAGAATGGCTGCAACCCATTTGTGCCAAGTCTGCCTGATTATCAGACGTGAAAATAGCATTGGTGTTCTCCCTTCGAGGTTAGGAAATTTTTTTGAGTGAAATCAAGAGGAAAGTTGGACGTTATTTACATACACTGCACCGCCACCGTCTGCAATCCAGCAAACATCTTGTGAAAGAACGGGTCACCCGAACGAGCTCAGTGAATTCTAGTGCTTTTAAGTATTCCTCGGTCAGCTGTTAGTGGTATTATAACAGACCGGACGACAAAAACTCGGCCTGAAAGAGGCGAGATCAGTGAACTCACAAAAGGTGAACTGCCCGAGTGCAAACAGAGCTTTCACTGGAGGGGATTCCTGATCAAGCAGCTAAATTTAAGCCTTACGTCATCAAGAAGTAATTCCAGTAAAGGGAGCACTTAATGCTTCAGGATAATTTCATCCCAATGGATGACTGTTTCCTTCTCCAACATGATTGCTAAAAAGCAAGGACCACAGGGACATGGATGAGGAACGTGAGCGGTCTGCGCAATCCTGACCTCAAACCGGACAGAACATCGACCAGAGGACAGTCCGCTTCGTCCAACGTCAGAGTCCGACCTCGCACCTTACACAAATGCAGCCCTACACCTTGTGCAAAGCCACTTTTGTTTACTACTGCAGGCCATTAGCTCTATACCTAATCATGATTTCATCCAAGCAAAGAGGCCAAAGGGGAAAAACACATCAGCAGAGTGTGGCACGGGTCATAAAATAGGAGCAGTACGTTTAATCACACATTGTGCACAAATTATAACAGCCGGCCACTAGTCAATCTCAGTTTTCAGTCTGTTAATTTGCGTGAATAATTTTCAAGAATAACCATGTATACTTTGGGTGTCGATCAAAGTACAGATCGCTGGATACTTAGCACATGTTAGCACACAGGTGTGCTAAGAATGAACACACTGATGTTCCTCTTTACAACTACACTGCTCTTGGCTTGTGACTCATTTACTGCAGGTGATTATATTGTCTGCTTTCACCGTTTGAACGGAGCTCGAGCTTAAAAACAAAAAGTTTTATTAGATTCACTTGTCATCAACAACTTGGCAGCATGAAAAACGTAGCTGTGTAGTTTTGTATGTCCCACTGAATGGCAGAGTTTAGCAAACAAGTGACCTTACTGCTTTCAGTCTGCATTTTGTTCACTAAATCTGTCTGGGAAAATGATTGCATTTAAGCCGCTGTGTGGTGTATATCTGTGTCTGTGAACGTAACATGAGCCGCTTTGAGACTATTACTTTTATTTATTTACTCTTCTTTGGAAAAAAAAAAAGACAACTCTTTCTCACTGTAAATAGTGCAGAGTTTTACTTGTGTGCAATATTATCTTTTTTTTTTTCCTTGAATCTTGGAGTGTCTGCTGAACATTTTATTTTTCAATTTGTGAATGTAAAGCTCGGACTTTTGAGCATTTTTATGTGGTCAAATTAGTGAATAAACACGTAATGAGTACAAACGCAATGCAGTGGCAGCTATAATGATTTGCATGGACATGTCATTTATATCCAACATACTCATGATATAATTTATCTCAAATGCAAACACTTGGATTTCCCACCCTTTTTATTGCTTTTAGAAATCGACCCTCACCCATTCGACTGAAAACAAACATAAGAACACCCTGTAGCGTCACAGCGATTTTCTTTATTTTTGTTCCTGCTGATCACCACACAGGTTTGTCGTAGGAGTCGAACAGGAAAGGTATTTGTTGAGGAATTGTGATATTTATATGCTGACTGTGATTATCATAACAGCCTTGTTGTGTGTAGGTTTGGTCATTTGCACAGTCGACATGGTTCCATGTGCAATGAAACACTTTGCCGTCTCCAAGAACGGGAGTCAAAAAGGTGAAAGTCAAAACATGCATAGAAGAACTTGGAGAAAAAGTGACACCATCTACAAATCGAGAAAAATAAAACACAAATATAAAAATAATGTGATGTGTTCGCGATCGGTTTTTAAAGGGTGAAGGATATGAGGCAATGTCTCAGATTGTAGTTTTTTAGTGATTGCAAGAAGAGGAACTGAATACGACAGAAAGGTCAAAAACGCCTTTAATCTTATTGCCATGAATTCAACATATGCTAAGCAAAGATCACAAATGATTAAAGTTAAACTGTGACCGTCAAACTGATCACTATCTGGACCAAAATGGGAACATAACCTGTTGCCAGCGTTTAGCCGTAAACAGAACGGTGCAGAAAGGTTGACCAAAGAAGAATGGGAATCAAATCTCACAATATATTCAATATAAATCCCAGAAAGAATGACAGAGCACCGCCAAAGTTTAAAAAAACAAAAAAAAACTTTATTTCAAGCAAAGTGTCTAAGCAGGATGTAGATCACAGAAAAGAAAATCACATCTCCAACTGTTTTCAACATTGTGATCTCTAATGAAACATACTTTTTAATTGCTTTTAAACATGCATGAGAAATAATAAAATGAAACACACACTGACCTTGATGTTAAAAGACCTTAGAGTGATCTAAGGAGGAGAGGATTATAAAGAAGTACACTTGATTTCGGTTTCTATCTACCCATGGCGACTCCTCTGACTTTAATTACACTCTGCTAACAAACGGCAGAATATTACATTGCGAGCAGGTCTACACCGCCGCCAGATGATAAGTATTTCATTAACCTCATTTCTGAAGCATCCAAGATGTGCAGGGAATGAAATTCTCATGCTGTGACACAAAGTTCATGTGAAATAAGCCACACTGTTCATAAAAAAAACAGCATTTTGCTTTTTTTCTTACACGGCTTGTCGTATTTTCTCCAGGCTCTTTTCGATATTGTCAATAACTTCGACTGCAGCTTGAGGAATCCTGGTTCCTGGACCGAATATGGCGCACACGCCGCTCTGATAGAGGAATTCATAGTCCTACAAAGGCGGAGAGACGCAGGTCAGACTCAGCTTTTAGTTCTTAATCATGTGGGATGTATATATATTTTTAAACTGACAGAAATATAACATCTCTACATAACTCTGTTGCTTTCTTTTCATGAATGCCTTGGTCAACATCAGTCCTCGCCTCATTAAATCGATTTTAGCTACTACTCATGTCGATCACTGCACATATCTACTACGCCTTGACATTATGCAAGGCTGAGGCAGCAGTGCAGTAGGAGTAAAAAACACCGCCACCTGCAGGCCGGTGTTAGCAGTTACTAAAACTCAATGTTTTTGACTATTTTTGTGGAATGAACTCAGAATTTTGCATTAGGGCAAAAAAATGTGGGTGATTATGGAATCACAGCAAACTGGAGGG